AAAAAAAAAAAAAAAAAAAGAAAAAGAAATGGCGGCAGGGCGACTTTCTTGCGACATACGTGTCCTTCTCCTCTCGCGTGTTCCAAGCCCGGGAGAAGGGGAGCAAGAAGAAGAGGAAGAGGAAGAGGAAGAAGAAGGGGCTAGCTAAAGGAAAATGCAACAACCACGGGTCCCAGTGGGACGTGGTTCGAAGCCCGAAATTGATATGTATTCCGCGGCAAGGCGAGCCCAATCTATCGCGGGTCAAGCAGTCGGAATTTTAAGCGCGATATACGCCGTTCTATATATCGAGATTCTCCCCTCTCCCCCTCCAGACGTCGATATGGACGTCTGATATAAGGGGTGGCTCGGCCAAGCTCGAATCGAGCAATGTGTATAGGAAAGATTTGGAAAATATATTAAATGTATAAAATGTATTTTAGAAATATTGGTTTTCTTAGAAAATTACGAGTACAATGCTTATAGTCGTCTGTGATCCATCTTAATTTAAGAATTAATCGAGATGCAAAGAATTCGTGAAAAACACCCCTTTCTTTATAAAATAATTTCAAATAGCTGTATCATTATAATGAGAATTTTATTCCCAAAAAAAAAAAAAACAATTGTTCGATGAGCTGATCAAAGATTGGACTGTCGATAATTTCAAAAATCTATATAAAACGAAGGAAGAGCATTCCTTTCTCAAAAGTCTCTTAATAGGTCGATCAAAAATTAGTTGATAATTTTAAATATCTGTATCACGATGTAACAAAAAATTTACAGAATCTTTTTCTCAAAAATTTCTTGATGAGAAAGTAAAGATACAATTCACAGAAAAAGCATATTTTTCTCAAAAATCTCTTAACAGTTTGATCAAAGAATATTTGTTAATTTCAAATAGTTATATCACGATGCAACAAAAAATTTACAGAATCTCTTTCTCAAAAATTTCTTGATGAGAAATTAAAGATACAAAAAATTCACAGAAAAAGCATATATTTCAAAAATCTCTTAATAGATCGATCAAAAATTATTTGATAATTTTAAATATCACGATGTAACAAAAAATTTACAGAATCTCTTTCTCAAAAATTTCTTCATGAGAAATCAAAGATACAAAAAATTCACAGAAAAAGCATATATTTCAAAAATCTCTTAACAGTTCGATCAAAGAATATTTGTTAATTTCAAATATTTATATCACGATACAACAAAAAATTCCTTAAGAGAAGTTCAATCGAAGATAGAACTATTCACAAATCAACTTTTAAGTACCTGTATCACGATACAAAGAATTCAGAAAAAGCATACATTTCTCAAAAATCTCTTAACAGTTCTATCAAAGAATATTTGTTAATTTCAAATACCTGTATGATAACAAAAAATTCCTTGAGAGAAGTTCAATCAAAGATAGAACTAATAGAATTATTCACAAATCAACTTTTAAGTACCTGTATCACGATACAAAGAATTCACAGAAAAAGCATCCCTTTCTCAAAAACTGCTCGACGAGCCAATCGAAAATATAAAACACAATTCACAAATCAATAATTTCGACTGTATGACACGATAAATTCCTTGCCAAAAAGATAGAATACTATTCACAAATTACTAATTTCGATCTATAAATACCCTGTATCACACGATAAATTGACGAAAAGATAAAACACTCACAATCAATAATTCAAAAATATTTTCATAAACATAATTCATAAACACTCACAATCAATAATTTCGACTGTATGACACGATAAATTCCTTGCCAAAAAGATAGAACACTATTCGCAAATCAATAATTTCGATCTATAAATACCCTTTATGCCACGATAAATTAACGAAAAAAATAGAACACTATTCGTAAATCAATAATTTCGATTTATAAATACCCTGTATGACACGATAAAATGCCAAAAAGATAGAACACAAATCAATAACTTCGACTTTTGTATACCAGTTTTAATCACCTCTCACCTAAAACGTTGAAAGAGAAAGCCTAAAACCGTTCCAACCCCGTACAACCCATAACCTTTCCTCCTCCACGAGTTTCGAAACTTACGAGGACATAAAGCTCCCCCTCCTCTCCCTTTTGTACGCGAGCTGATCGCGCGGGAGGAAGGGCGGAACGGTTGGTGGGGGACGCCGCGAAGGGACGCCGCTGGTCATCCTCGGAAAATTGAATTTCGTCCCTGAGGGCCGGCCTGGATGAGGTATGCTGACAGTTGGAAAATTTGCGTTTAACCGGGTGCAATCTTGCCGACTCCACGACGTATCCTCGATCTCTCTTTCGTTTTTCGGAGACGCGTTTAAGTCAAGGTCATTCGATTTTGTAATTCGAGTCGTTCGAGAGAAAACTTTGAAAATATATTGCAAGAGGGATGAATTTAAGCGTATTTAAAATCTGTTTTATGATACGCTTGTTGGAACACGCGTTCCTGCCACGATGAGTGTTAAAAGATTGTATGAATAGAGTGAGATGTAAACATTGTTTAATTCTAAGAAAACAATAAAACAATTGAGAATCTCTTAAGAGAAAAAGGATAGAAGTGTAAGAGAGATGAATATGTATTTGCATGATGCTTGCTATATTTTAATAAGTTTGAAACAATAATTGCAATCTATAATAAAAACACGTTGCAATCTATAATACGTAAATGAGAAAAATTGTAAATATATATATATATATATATGACACGTGGCAGCAAAATTAATTTCGTGTTATTTAATTTTCATATTTCGTGTATCGATCGAAGGGATCTTTCGATTTCTTTGGTGTTTCAGAAAACAGGGTAATAAGAAAATTGATACGCATTTCTCTCGCGTTACGTTGCGTCCCAATTTTTAAAACACCGTCCACAGGTACCGTTACACGGGAAGTAAAAATTAATCTTCAGTCGCTTAGAGATAAGGGAGAAAACTTTTTCCCGTATTTTTAGCAAAAAGTATTGACTAATGACGCCGACATATACGCATGCGCGCCTGCCATTTTTCGCTCATTTGCAATGCAACGAGATAAGCGGGCGTCTTAAATTAAAATCGATATTCCGTTTACCATTATTAAAATTTTTAAGCCGAAAAAAAAAAAAAGGGCGTAATCTTAATCGCTTGACGTTAATATATCGACGCGAATTAATTTGCATGCGAATAACCATGCCAAGTCGAGTGGGCAAAAAAACCAAACAAATTTCTTTTGTTTCCAGCAAACGGTGAAAAAAAATTTTCGGTTACTCACCGTGTGGCACCCATCCATGGTGGCACCTGTCGCAGTACCGGATGTGCCTCTTCCCCGGCGTGAACGAGTCGCACGAGCATCCATTCACCGTGCACTTGATAGACTGAAACCGAGCACAAGAAACAATAATTACGGGGCCAGGCTTAAACGTTTCGAGCGATATTGTTCATTCATCGTTACGAAATATTACTTTCTTATAATTACCCAACCTTGTGTTACCTTCCAACGAAAATGAAAAAGTAAAATATATAACATTTCAATTACGAAAGAAAGAAAGAAAGAAATACTTGTTACACTTTCAATCATTCTTCTTCTATTCTTTTAAAAAATTTTTTTGAACATTTTAACGATCATCCTTTTTTATAAATTGTATTCTCACTCGCATAGAGTTTCCACGAGTTAATTATAACAAAATGCATCGATTGGACGATTTAAATCTCTCTCAGTATCGAATAAACGTAATCTTTGCCTTGAAAATTTCCAACCCTCCAACCCACGCCTAAATCGAACCAAAGTACCCGCTGGAACTGCTCTGATCGTTCGTTACGCGAGGAAGGTGTAGAGTATAAGGGGAGAGGGGACGTCTCTTTCGAAGGGGGTTCGAGGCGGAATTTTTATACGACTTTTCAGCCAAAGGGAAAAAATATATATACAGTTTGGCGCGGATTAAAGGATCGTTGCCACGGGCGGGTAGAAAGAAAAAAGAGAGAGGGGAGGGGGTGTATTTCGAATGACCGTTTGGCGTAACGCCACCCCGGAAGAGCCGTAAGAAGGGGTGGACTTGGCCGGATTTTAAGGAACCGTGAATATTTTCCGCCCTTCGGCACGAAATTAACCCCTTGGGAGCCACCGTCCAATCCCCTCCCCCTCCTTTCTCTTCCTCGAGGCTGAAACGAAGCTCTGGAGCCGTTGCTCTACGCGGTGGACAAGTTTATTTTTTTTATTTTTTCCTTACTTACTTTGCCTCACCTTTGCAGCCATCGATGCAGTCGAAGAAGGGGGAGGGGAATGCTGATTCCTCTGATTCTATGTTTCACGCGTTAGAAAAGTTTCCACGGGAAAGGAGACCGAGGAAGGTCGAGTTTATTAACACGTTCACTGTTTCCAACGAAATCTCCTTCAGGCCATGCTGGTATAATAACCAGGAATAATCATTTGTTTCCATCCTGTTACATTGAAGCCCTCGTTCACCTCGCCTTTACACAGTTCGAATGTTTGTCGAGTGTAACTTTTGTTAAAAATTCTGATCCGATTCCAATGTCGGAAAGAAAAATGGAAGAGTTATGCCTTAGTTAGAGTTAACAACTTTTTGTCCAAATTCTCTTGACTAACCTCAGCTTTATAAATAATTCTTTTGATAAACTATTTTTGTAGTACATGATTCATTACATTTTATAACATTCCTGTAGTCGAATATGAGTGAGCCTGATGAGAACTTTTGCTATAACTCTCAAGTATGGAGGAGTCAACGTGTTAAATGGACGCCGTTTGACGTTCCGTTTTTATCATGGAACCAAGCCTCTTGAACGGATCTTGGATAAAATGTGTTTCTTGAGAAAGATGGTAGAACATGGATTATGTTCTTTGTATTCATATACGTTTTATGTACGAGTGTTGATTGAAATGTTATATCGCGATTAAAAATTCAGTTCAGAATATTATTATTAATTCTTTCGCACAGTGATTCGATAAGGTTTAACTGGACGAAATTATTTTTTCGTCGATTTTGAGGTTTGTATGAAGATTTAATTTCTAGAAAATAATATTGCTTTTTATTATAATATAAAAAAATTAACATTCAATTAATAAAAAATGTATAGGAAAATAAGTACAATATAACTTGAAATGAAATAGGAAAAAAAAATGAGAACAAAACAAAAGTACACGTTACATTGAAACTATTATTTTTTACATATTTGAAAATGAATATTTTGTCCATTTAATAAATTATTCGAACCACTGTGCGGTCTTCAAAGCGTTTAGAGCTAAGTCTTTCGTCCCAAGAAACGCTATTGTAATGCTACAATTTTTATTCATAACAATATATAACTTTTCCAAGAACATATTAAACGATTAAAATTAATATTTTTACCCTACGCAACGCGATATTGTAATATAATATTCTCTATTTTAGATCTCACATTGATATCGCCTGCTTTTGTCATTCTTCACCACACGTTCTCCTAATAAAAATTTCTCTTTTCCTTTTGTTTATTTACATAAAATTTTATGGAGAAACAGTGAGCACATGAATTCATCAAAAAATCTTTAACTACTCGATATGTAAAAAACGCCAATACCAAACCTAAAAAAAAAAAAAAAAAAGAAAATATTCCACCGTAATAATCTCACCGTCGTTGCCCAATTTAATGGGTTTTACGACGATCTTTCTCCAACAAAGAAACAGAGAAGGAAGAGGGAGGAGATGGGGGTCCCATTTACCTATAACCACACGGCTCGTTTCTCCGTGGAGGACGAACGGAAAGGGAAAACACGTCGTCTATGTATGTATGTATGTATGTATGTATATATTAGCGTTATGGCGTTACGCTGGCGTGTGCCGCTAATATAAAGACAAATGAAGCGACGAGCGCGCCACCATCTTCGGCCATGTGTCTTTATACCAGCCACATCCGTCCCCGCGGCGCGGCGTTGTTC